AGTTCGGATTCATACTTAGGAGTCTTGAGTTCTTAAACCATAAGCCAGATCACTACATTAAAACTCGATCTTTCACCATTTCTTTTCGTAAAAACTCCGTATTCAAGAGCTTTTCGGAATTGAAAAATTTAAAACCAAGGGGTTGTCTCATTTAAAACCAAGGGGTTTGTCCTCATTCTACGATCCAAAGAAGTGGAACTAGATTGGACAGGATCGCTATCCAAGCAGTAAACAATTCATATCTATACATTTTTCATTTGAAATTTTTTCTATTACAAATCCCAGCCACAGGGGCAAACATTGCAGAGAAACTCACCTGCGATTGTGAAAACTTTTTCCTTTTATCTTTTCTCTTTTCCTATTTTCTTTCCCTTTTGTAGATTTCAGACTTCCAATATTTGCGATGAGTGGCAGCAATAGCACCAACCCGCCGTCCGACTCCGACAGAATGTCTGATACACCTCCTGCTTCCGAAAATGTCATGTCGGCTGCTACCCCTCGAAACTCGCCTGCCGGAAATTTGCGTGATCCGTGTCCTTCGTTTTCAACCACTTCCGTCTTGTCAGAGTCTAGCGCCTCTTCCAGCGTAGTAACTCAACATGACTTGGAAGCCTGTTTGCGTCGGATTGAGGAGCGTTTTGACACTTCGATTGATAGACTGACTCGAAATTTAGTTGCTCCGTCGCAAATTGATGAGATCACTAACAGATTGGATCAACTTTCCGTTATTTCGCCCACTCATCCCGTAAACGGTTCTTATCGTGCTCGCATGGGTCCTGCTATGTATACGAGACCTCCGCCAAATTTAGGTTTTCCAATGCCGGCAGGATTTCAACAACGTTTTGTCGAGCCTTTTTCCCATCTTCAGGTTCCGAATCATCCTACTCGACCAGTTTCAGCGCCCCAGGAAGTTCCCATTGCCACTTCGGTGACTCCTCCCACTGCGCGTTTTCAGCCGGCGACGCCTCCACACCAGGCTAGTGCTCCCCGTTTCCAACAAACTAATCCGCTGCCTATGCACTACCCTGCATGGCGACGTCACAACCGACTGCTCAGCCATCGTCTGCATCGACTCCCGTTCCCGCTGCTGCTCCAGGACATGCGCCTTCGGTGCATCACGTTTCGCCAACTCCTCAGCGTCAACCTCACATCTCACCGGTACCGCAAAGTTTCGAACCTACGTATGTATATGCTGAGCCCCCAGTTGCGCGCGATATCTTCTTTTCGGGTCGACCTTCAGATCTGAGAGACTTTTTGCAAGACATTCGTGATGCTGTGAGAAACTTTGGTGACCGTTTTGCTAACGACACACGCCGTATCAATTGGATAGCACGTCATTTCCGTTCTCGTGACAATAGGGGTGTTACCTTCGATTCAGCCGCTCACAGTTGGTTCACCGGTTTATTGGCGACCAACGCTCACGCTTTGGGACAATGGAGCGAATACGCTGATTTGAAGAGTTTTGAGTATGTAATCCCGGAACTTTCCTCTATGCAAGGGTTCCTCAATGCTATGGTCAACAACTTTAGAGATGTCAATTCCGCCAGGGTCGCTAACGATGCCTTGAAAAGGTTTAAACAGGGTACTATGGACTTGATTGAGTATAATGCCACCTTCCGCACCATGGCTGCTCACACTAGCCTCAGCATTGACTCACAGTTGGAAATCTACGAAGCCAATTTGTCTCCTGCCATTTTTGGAGCTGCCATCGGTTTCCGTGAGTGGGCCCGATCGTCATCTTTGGACAAACGCATGGCTTTAGCTGTCGAAGCGGCCGCCATGGCTTCGCGTTACGCAACCTTACCTGCCGATCACCCATTCAGCACCCGCCGTTCCAGATACAACGTTCCGCCTGCTCAAGCTGCCGCCCATCATCATCCGACTCCAATTCGCGTCCCGGTCGATCCAAACGCCATGCAGATCGACGCGATTACTGCGAACGGAGACGCAGCGCCGGCTTTACGGTCTGCTGTTCGCCGCGTGTGTTGGGGGAAACATCTATGCTTCAATTGCCTCGGTCCGAAATGCTCCCGCCACAACCAACCGAATCAGCCGTTTTGCCCGAATCCCCCTGCTTCAGCTCAAGAACAACTCTCCTTTCTTCGCCTACACAACCCAAGCAACGTTCATGCTCGAGAACCGCCAGTGCCTGCGGCGCCGATTGCTGTTGCTCCTATTGCCACTTCTGCTACGCCTATGGCGTCTCCTTCGACCGCACCGTCTGCCGCTGTCGCTGTCGAAGCTCAATGGTTAAGCTCCATGGGTCGTGAGAACGCGGAAGAAATGGATCGCATGACTGCGGAGCATTTAGCGTGGGAACGTGACCTTGATGCGATGGATAGCGGACCCAGTGTAAGCACCTTACGAATCAGCCCCTTACCTGCTTTTCCCACGAGGTTTTGTGTTGGCCTCCGTTTGGTTCTGGGAAATCCATCCGTGCTAGTCCGAGCATTGGTGGATACCGGAGCTATGGAATCGTTTGTGCATAAGAAGGTTGCGCAACGTTTTAAATTGATCACTAATCCCTTATCCTCTCCTCTGACTTGTTCGGGATTTGACGGCACTCCAGGAGGAGAGTTAGTCACCCATTCGTGGATAGGCGTCGGGCGATTGACTAATGGTGTTGAGGATTCGAAGGATCTTGATTTTGATTTAAAGGTTAACGACATCGGCAGCTATGATGTCATATTAGGTCTGCCTTGGTTGAACTCACACAGAGCGGTCATTCACTGTGGCGAATCAGGTAG